TGGAAATTCCAAGGGGATTTCAAAGCCAGAGCAGGGGAAGGGATTCCTTCATGCCTTTCCTGGGTGTGAAGATTTAAAAAGTTTCAATTCCCCCTAGCTTACTATGATTAGTCAGGCTGAATCATTGTCCTTGTTGCCTGGCTTGAAAATAAGTCAAGACACATGCTTGTGAAGGGCTATGGGGAGCTTTCCGATGGCAAAAATGCCTTTTCCAACCTTGGGTTGAGGGGAGATGGACTACTATTATCTGTTTTCCCTGGGGCTCTTCCAGGACTGTTTATAAGTAGTGTACTTTTATAGTGGATGTTGAACAAACACTTGTCAAACTACAGGAAGTTATGCTATCTGGAGAACATCTAACCACTGGAAAGTGTTCTGAGATGGAATGATCCTCCTTGAAAGGCTGTGGGAGCCAGTGCTGGAAGATTCAAGCAAAGGCTGGTGCCTGGCTGGTGAGGCTGGTAGAACAGAGTCTGGTTTAAAGAGGGAGGTGTTGCCGAAACCAGTTTGGCTCAGTGGATAGAGCCTTGGCCTGCAGACTGAAGGGTCCCGGGTTCGATTCCGGTCAGGGGCATTTGACTTGGTTGCGGGCACATCCCCAGTAGGGGGTGTGCAAGAGGCAGCTGATTGGTGATTCTCTCTCATCGATGTTTCTAGCTCTCTATCCCTCTCTCTTCCTCTCTGTAAAAAAAAAAAAATCAATAAAATATATCTTAAAAAATAAAAATAAAAAAAATAAAGAGGGGAGGTGTTGAGCTGGTGGCCCCAAAGGTGATTCCCACCCCAGGAGTGGGTCAGAATGACTTGGATCTCACATCCCTGAAGGGCCTAAATATAGATCCTTGCCCTGGCTGGTTTAGCTCAGTGTATAGAGTGTTGGCCTATGGACTGAAGGGTCCTAAGTTCGATTCTGGTTGAGGGAACATGCCTGGGTTGCGGACTTGATCCCCAGTCCATCTCCTTTCCTCTCTGAAATCGATATATATACATGCTAGAGGCCTGGTGTGTGTGTCGGGCGGGGGGGTGGGGGGAGGGGGAGAAGGGGGTTCTCTCAGCTCAGCCTGCACCCTCTCCAATATGGGCTATTTCTTTCACGATCCAGGACTCCTGGCTCCCAACTGCCTGCCTGCCTGCCTTCCTTCTTGATTGCCCCTAACTGCTTCTGCCTGTCATCTCATCACCCCCTAACCATTCCCCTGCCAGTCTAATCAATGCCTAACTGCTCCCCTGCCAGCCAGATTGTCCTCAACTGTCCTCCCCTGTTGGCCTGGTCACCCCCAACTGCCCTCCCCTGCAGGCTTGATCATCCCCACTGCCCTTCCCTGCAGGCCAGGGTCCCCCTCTGACTGCCCTCTGTAGGCCTGGTCCCCCAAAACTGCCCTTCTCTGCTGGCCTGATGCCCACAACTGCCCTCCCTTTCAGGCCTGGTCCCTCTCAATTGCCCTCCCCTGCCGGCCTGATTGCCCACAACTGCCCTCCCCTTTTGGCCATCTTGTGGTGACCATTTTGTGTCCACATGGTGGCAGCCATCTTTGACCACATGAGGGTGGCCATCTTGTTTTGGAGTGATGGTCAATTCGCATATTATCTCTTTATTATATAGGATTAATTGATAGGCATTAAATTATTCAATTTCTTCCTTACTTGGCTGAGATGGTATCTGGCACCCTCTAGTGATAGAATTTTTTTTATTTATTTTTTATTTATTTCTTTTTTTTCCGAAAGAATGTCCCCAGTTATTTTGCTATTTCCTCAGGCCTGGGTAGACAATTATCTTTACTTAACACTGCAATTGTAATAGTTAACTTGTAACAACTACTTTTGGTAACAGGATTTCTTATGCTGATCATAAGCTCTGGTGATATATAAATTAGGATTCTATTAGTTGTAAGAATCGGGGTTAAGCAAAAGTTGAGACTGTATGGAGCTGGGTAACTGTGGGAGTCTGGGATTTTATTTCAAGATGACAGCAGGACTCAAGTGGCACTATCTTGCCTCTCAGCACAGTTTCTTCTCAGCCTGGGTCGACTCTGTCCTCAGCACTGGCAGGCCCTCATCACCACCACCTCAGTTCCACACTTCACACAGTCCCACTTCAAATCCAATGGAGCAGGGACCAGGTCCTCCTGTTTCTAGCAAAAGTCACAAAGTTTACTCCCATTGAGTGTGGGGTGGTAGTTGCCTTAACCAAGTGGAGTTTTCTGTCCCCCTCCTCTTCCTCCTCCTCCTCCTCCTCCTCCTGCCACTTACATACACACAAAAGCCCTGGGATTGGTGTCAATGCTCCTGTGATGGTTGATCTGACTAGGCCACAAGACCCAAATACTTGGTTCTACTTTGGATGTTTTGGATGTTTTATTTTCTTTTTGAATGGAATTAATAATTAAATAAGAGCTCCCCTGAGAGAGAGAGGGAATTCAGCCAGCAGACTGACTTAAACTCAAACTGCAACTCTTTCCTGGGTCTCCAGCCGGCTAGCCTACCTTGCAGTTTGGGATTTGCCAGGTTCCACACTCACATAAGCCAGTTTTTGAAAATACATCTGTCTATCTAAGCATAATAGATACTTCTCTAGCTCTATCTATTCTAAGGCCCTGTTTTTCTGAAACTAACTACTACAAAGAGTTAAAAAGAGGGAAGAGGGCCAATTTTCCCAAAGGCAACTTGGCAGTGCTGTTACCAGGAAGAAGGGGAGAAGATGTAGAAAAAACAGTCATAGATGCTCATCACAGTTGGGAATTAACAGTCAACTTACTGCTGTGGGTGGCAATTTGGTTGACAAACATTTTTTGGACATTAGGTTCATGGAGAGAAGGAATAAACTCGGTGGTGAAAAGATAGTGAAGGTTTTCTCCCCTTAGCTTTCTACATATTTAGATATGTGTTTCAGTGCTATTCAGAATGACATGTTCAATGGCCAGCATATCTTTATAATAGAAGTGGGCTTTAGCTTATGTGGCATGTTTTGAATACAATCAGGATGGTTGGGTCCAAAATATCTCGCATATCTGGATTTAAAAATTGTTGGTTTTTTTTGTTTTTTGGGTTTTTTTTTTTGGCTCTTCAAAGATTGGAGGTCTTAGGAATGTATTATTAAAGTAAAAATGAGTTGGCCGGTTAGCTCAGTTGGTTAGAGCGTGGTGCTGATAAAGTAAAAATGACCTTTGCCCTGGCTAGGTGGCTCTGTTGGTTGGAATGTTATCCTGTACACACACACACACACACACACACACACACACACACACACAAAGTGGTGGGTTTTATTCCCAGCCAGGGCACATACCAAGGTTGTGAGTTTGATCTTCGGTGCATACATTGGTATTTCTCCCCCTCTCCCTCTCCCTTCCTCTCTGAAAAAACAAAACAAAAACAAAAACAAAAAATAATAAATAAATAAGTAAAAATGACCTTTAATGATGTCCAAACTTTTTTCCCCAGGACACCAGCATCCATGAAGTGATCATTCAATAGGTCCTCTTCAAAGGACTCCAGAAAGAAGACAAGGAAGTTTGTGGGGAAGGGGGAATTCATATCATAGCCCCCTCTTAGATATTCCTGATGCACATTAGCATTTTAAGAGCAATGAGAATTTTTGGATTAAGTTAACCCTAAATTTTCTAAAATCATTTCATCATGAAACATTTCCCCCCACAAAGCACTGTTTGAACTTGGGGGAATTAGGTGTGGAAGAGGGGGTGGTTAGAAAGGGGAGGGCCTCAGGAGCAAGAATGTCCAAGTTTAATTCCCAGCTCTACTGTTTATCAACTATGCAACTTTGCCAGTGTTGCTTCAACTCTTTTGGCTACAATTCTTTATTTGTACAGTAAGTTTACTCACCTCACTGGGCTAAAATGATAAATATTAAGTACGAAAGAACCACTTTTGAAAGTTGCTAGTTCATAATTCAGTCTAAAGAGATGTTGATTTTGTCAATTGTCTTCTCTCTTTTCTCTCTTCCCTTCCTTCCTTCTTATACATTTTTTCATTCCAATGAACTTATTATTTTATAAAAGCTTTGGATTTACAGGAAGGTTGCAGCGATAACACACCACCAGCCCTAGCCCCCTTCCCTTCCTTTTGTGTGTACGGTATTCTGTGCTGGGCACTGTAGGAGCAGGACTGGAATGTCCAAGGTCTCCCTGCAGCTCTCACCAGCCTCCCTGGAAGGCCCGGCAGAGACGAGCACACCAACACCTACAAGACTGGTCATAAGTGCAGCTCAGAACACAAGTCATGTACTGGCTGGTGTGGCTCAGTGGATAGATTATGGCCTGCAGACTGGAGGGTCCTGGGTTCCATTTAAGTCAAAGGCACATGCCTGGGCTGAGGGCTCCATCCCCAGTAGGGGGCGTGCAAGAGACAGCCGATCAATGATTCTCTCTCATCATTGATGTTTCTATCTCTCTCTCTCACCCCTTTTCTCTGAAATCAATCAAAATGTATTTTAAAAACACACACACACACACAAACCACCAGTCAGCATACAAATTTCCCCTCCTGTAAAATTCGTGCAAACTACTCAAACAGACAGATCTACTTTTCCAAAATAACTTTGAGAGGTGTTAACTAGAGCATCAAAGAATCACCGTGTCTCCCCCCCCCCCCGCCCCTTTTTTTTTTTTTTTAAGAAAATCGACCAGGAAATGAGTAATAAAGGAGGAGAGGGGAAGTTATTGTGAACCTTAAATACAGCCTGAGCTGGGGGACACACACACTCACACACACTCACACACAAACACACACACACACACACACACACACACACACACACACACGCACACACCCGCCCGCACAGCTGATGCAGAGCCTGGTGTTCTAATGGGGAATGCCCGTTTGTGCAATAAACTTCGCTCTTGCTCCACGCCCCGCCCGGCGTTCCTCCTCCCCCCGCACCCCCTCCCGGGCCGGGCGCTCTCCCCAGCCAGGAGTTCCCCGCAGGGCTTCCTCCCCTCCCCTCCCCTCCCCTCTCCACCCCCGGGCCCGGGAGGGAGGAGGTGCATTTCCTTTGGTCGCTTCGGGGAGCAGCTCGCACAGGTGCTCCGAGACACACTCTGGAGAGAGAAGCGGGGAGCTGCGAGTCCCGGGAGAGGCCGGGCGGGGCTGTCATCTCTCCCGGAGCTGAGCCGCGCTGCCGGGGCTCCAGAAGCTCTTAAACTTCGCCGGATCGCTCCCCAGCGATGCCCCGGATCGGGGTCCTCCTGCTCCTGGTGAGTCCTCTCCGCCGGGGTGGGGCGGGCGCTGCAGCGCCCGGGGTGACGGCGGGCCGCGCCCCGGGACGGCGATCCACAGCGTCCCCGGGGCTAGGACTTTGGCATCGGAGGGACAGCTGGGCGGGACAGACGGGGGGGAGAGGGGTGTCTTCCGAACAGGTCCTTGCGGATCCCGCCGCAGGTCCGCTCCGTGGCGGGATGCGGGGCTGGACCTGGCATTGCCTTTTCCCGCAAAGTTAGGGACTGAGCCCGGGGCGGCGGCGGCGGCGGCGGCGCCGGAGGCTTTCGGCTGCCCCGCTCCTCTCTCCACCGTGAACTTGGCGCTGCTCGCGTCTTGTTTGCTCTCCTGTCACCGGCGCAGAAAAAGAAACTGTTTTTGTTTGCTTCCGGAAATGCCTCTCCTTAATATTGCAAGTCACTGTCGCTGGGTTTTGTTTTGTTTTTTTTTCTTCCCCTTCCTGCTTTTCATTTTCTTCTTGGAAACTTTCTCAGCGGCACTCACTCCCACGCGAGTTTGAACCGGCGCGGGAGGGAGTGTCGGCCCCAGCGCTGCGGTGCCGGCTCCCGCAGCTCCCGCCCTGGCGCCTGCACTCGGCCTAAGAAGCCGCCTCTTTTTGGAGTCCTTTTCTCAGAAATGCCAGCTCCAAGGTGGCAAATTGAAGAATCATGGCCTCTGAAAGCCAATGGATTCTTATTTTATTCGGCCCCACCCAAGCTCCAGCACTGTTAGGCGTGTTAATAAGCATGATCTTAATCAGTTCTCTCAGCAGCTGTGTAGCGAGGAGGATGGCCTCCTGTCCATTTTACAGATGCAAAATGGAGTTTGGAAAGTTTTTCAACCGAGCTCACACAGGTGACAAGGCCGGGATTTCATTTCATTCCAAAGCCCAGGGAGTTTGTTGATTGCACCCATTTAAAAACAACAACAACAACAACAGAAGTTGAAAGAAAATCAAACATAATAATGTCTGGACCATGGTTATGATTGGGAAGAAAATTCTCCCTGATTGGAAAAATTAATTCTCCCTGGTCCCTTCAGAAATAAGGTGCAATATTTGGGGCCTTTAGAAACTTCCTTAGAAAAAATTTAAGAATCAAAATTGAGAAACCATTTATACAATCTCACATCACATCCTTCTTGCCCTGGCGGGTAGTTCAGGAGCATTATTCTGATATGTGTAGGGTGTGTGTGTTGATTCCCTGAAAAGGCATATAAGAATAATCAACCAAGGAATGCATGAATAAGTGGAACAGTGTTTTTCTCTCTCTTTAAAATCAAGTAATAAGTTAAAAAAAAAAAAAAAACCAACAAAAAAAAACCCACATCCGCCGGAGCCGGTTTGGCTCAGTGGTAGAGCGTCAGTCTGCGGACTGAAAGGTCCCAGGTTCGATTCCTCCGGTCAAGGGCATGTACATTGGTTGCGGGCACATCCCCGGTAGGAGTGTGCAAGGGGCAGCTGATGTTTCTCTCTCATCGACCTTTTTAGCTCTCTATCTCTCTCCCTTCCTCTCTGTAAGAAATCAATAAAATATTTTTAAAAAATCCTTTCTCTTCCTTATGATTAAGGACTACATTATTGCAATGTTTGCTTTGGAAATCCCTCCTAGTTCTAGGGACTGCAATACTAGTACATGTAGCAACATTATCAAAGCCGGGAGCTATATTTACTTAACTTTATGCTATGGCATCTTTACAAGAGGTACATATTTAAAGCACAAAGGAAACCTTGCTTCTCTGAAAGAATGCATGCACACACATTCATCTATATGCATACCTTTATTTATATATTCATATTATTATATTATGTATAATATCATAAATTAAATACAGTTTGTTTATTATACAGGGTGCTCCAAAAAATGTATACACACGTTAACAGCTGATAGTTCAATTTTGAAAATGAAATGTATTTTAATAAACACGGCCTTTATAATTATTCAAAGTGTAGGTATCCGTTTTTGGGACACCCTTTATTTATATGATATGTGGCCTAGAAAATTAAGACTTATTAAATATGGTTTATAAATGCAGATGAGTAAAAAGGAAAAAAAAATGGCATAACCCTGTCACCTAGATAACCCTTGTTTACATTCTATAGTCTGTCCTCCATTTCTCCCTTCTAAATTTAGTTACCCAGAGGCCTGCCTTGTACTTACCACTTCCCTAATATCACACCTCCATTCTGAAGTTTCTTTCTTTTTTAATTGAATTTATTGGAGTGACATTGGTTAATAAAATTATGTAGGTTTTACATGTATAATTCTATGATACCTCATCTGTATATTGTATTATGTGTTTACCACTCCAAATCACCATTTATCTGCTCTTTACATTCTTCTATATCTCTCTACCCCCTTTTCCCTCTGATAATCATCATACTATTGTCTGTGTCTTTGAGGGTTTTTTTTTTTTTTTTTTTGGTTCTCTTTTGCTTAACATTTTACATTTTCACCCTAACCCCCAAACCCTTCTCTTCTGACAGCTGTCAATCTGTTCTCTGTCAATCTCTTTCTATTTTGTATGTTAGTTTATTTTATTCATTAGAATCCACATATGAATGAAATCCTGTGGTACTTGTCTTCCTCTGGCTAGTTTCTTTCTCAGGTCTATAAATATTGTCACAACAAATAAGATTTCTTTAAAAAATGTGTTTATTTATTTTAGGGAGAGGAAGGAAGAGGGATAGAGAGATAGAAACACCAATGAGAGAGAATCTTCAATTGGCTGCTTCCTGCATGCCCCTACTGGGGATTGAGCCCACAACCCTGGCATGTGCCCTGAACTGGAATCAAATTGGTGACCTCTTATTTCATGGATCATCTCTCAATCACTGAGGCACACAGGCCAGACAAGATGTCTTTTTTTTTTTTTTTTTTTTTTTTTTTTTTAAGGTTGAGTAGTTTTTCCATAGTGTAAATGTACTACAATTTTGTTGTTGTTTTTAATCCACTCATTTACTGATGGGTTCTTAGGCTGTTTCCAAATCTTAGCTATTGTAAATAACACTGCAATGAACACAGTAATGTGCATATACTCTTTGAATTATTGTTTCAATTTTCTTCAGATATATTTCCAGAAGTGGAATCGCTGAGTTATAGGTAGCTCCATTTTTAATTTTTTGCGGTAACTCCATACTGCTTTCCACAGCGGCTGCAGCAGTCTGCATTCCCACCAACATTGTACAAGGGTTCCCTTTTCTCCATATCCTCACCAACACTTGTTGTTTGTTGATTTATTGATAGACATTCTGACGGGTGTGAGGTGATATCTCATTGTGGTTTTAATTTTAATTTCTCTGATGATTAGTGATGTTGAACATTTTTCCCTATGTCTATTTGGGCATCTTTATATGTTCTTTGGAGAAGTGTGTATTTAGGTCTTTTGTCCATTTCTTAATTAAGTTGTTTGTTTGTGGTGTGTTTTTTTTGTATTGAATTATATAAGTTCTTTATAAATTTTGCATATAACACCTTATTGCTTGTATCACTGTTGAATGTCCTCTCAATTAGAGGATTGTGTTTTCATTTTGTGGATGGTTTCCTTTGCTGTGCAAAATATTTTAGTTTGATATAGTCCCATTTGTTCATTTTTATGCTTTATTTCATATATTGTGTTCTTTATTTCTTACTGTTTTTTTTTATGCTTTCTGTGTCATTTTTCATGCTGTTGAATTTCTCACTAGGTTCCTTCAGTGTCCTTATAACCACTTTTTTGAACTCTATTTCTGGTAATGGCTTACTTCCACTTCATTTAGCTCTTTTTCTGGAGATTTCCTGTTCTTTTATTTGGAATTTGTTTATTTGTCTCCCCAGTTTGGCTACCTCATTATGTTCATTTCTATGTATTAGATAGATCTGCTATATAGATCTGCTTTGTATCATGGCCTTATGTGGTAGGTGTCCTGGGGGAGCTAGTGGCACAGTCTCCTTGATCAGCTGGGTTGGATGCTCCAGAAATGTCCCTTGTTGGCTTATGTGGCCCCTCCTGTTGTAAATGAATCTTGATTGTCATTGCCCCATTCATGCATGAAGCCATCCCTCAGGCTGGGTGCCCGTGAGGATTGACCCTGACCACAGGGTACAAGCTGCTGTGCAGATGCTGACCACAGGAGGCAGATTACACCTCAGCTGGGTCTGTACCACTTTTGAAGCTAATTGGATCCTGCTCTGATGCTGTCTGAAGCTGGCCACTGGATGTGTCTATTCTAGGGTCTTTTTGGAGGGACTCTGGTGCAGGTCAGTGTCAGACACTGCCTGTGACCAGCCCTGGGCTACCTGTTTGGAGACACAAAGTGACCCACTGTTAGTGGCTGCCTCTGCTGGGCCTTGGTGTGCATGGGAAGGACTGGACCAAGCCGCACATCAAGTTGCTTCCCACCAGCACTGAACCCAGTGGCAAAAGGCCTAAGGTTCCCCAAGATCTGCCTCCACCTGCCTCTGCCTGCCAGCTGCCAGTTAGGCTCAGTCACAGAACCTCTGGTGGTATTCAAGTTCCATGAGATACATTCTCAGTGAGTGCTGCTCAGCAGATTGATACAGGTTTAAACTTGGGTCTGAGGCCACTCAGCAAATGCCCCAGGGTAGACCAAGCCTAGCTGCCACCTGCTGGGTGCTCACACACCTTTGTGTGTGGCAGGGTCTCAGGGAGTCACCAGTACCAGGCCAGCAGTTTATAAACAGGTCCAAAGAGACCAAGATTTGGCCGTGTGAAGGGAGGACTCTACACCAGTCTGGCATGAGAGGGAAAGATGGCTCTTGTCCTAGAGCCATGCATCTCAGTGTTTCCCAGATTCTGTCAGGAGTTCAATCTCAGCAGGATGGGGACATAAGGAGTCAGGAGGATGGGGCTAGTGGGTCTCCCATGAGGGAGAGGTATCCCTCAGGCTTCGGGAGTGGGCGGTCGTGGCTCCCACCCCTGAGTCACACAACTCAGTCTTGCCTGGATTCTGCCCAGACCTCGGCAGGGTGGAGCCACTCACAGGAGGTTGGATTTGCCA